GACCAACATTGGTCTCTAGTTTTCAAATTTTAAAATATAATATTTGGATTAGAGACCAAAGTTTAATGATTATTANGTGATATAGCGACCAAAGTTGGTCGCTAATATTTAAAAAATAAATTAAATTCATGTATTTAGGGACCAAAGTTGGTCGCTAGTTTAATAAAATAAATAAATAATTGAATAAAAAAGCGACCAACATTGGTCTCTAGTTTTCAAATTTTAAAATATAATATTTGGATTAGAGACCAAAGTTTAATGATTATTAATAAATAAATAAAAAATGTATTTTATATTTAGAGACCAACTTTGGTCGCCAAATTTATATTATTAAATAAATAAAGCGACCAAAGTTGGTCTCTATGGTCAATATCCGGAAAAATTGGTCCATTTAGCTTAGAGACCATCAATATAGCTACCATGCCCTTTTGGTCGCTTTTTAGCCCAATAGCGACCAACTCTTTGGTCGTTTTTTAGCCCAACAACGATCGCTTTTTCCCGAATTTCTAGTAGTGAAAATAGAAATCACCTAAGTAGAACTTACAACAAAAGAAAAAATTACTAAATAGATATATAAATTCCCATCAAGTAGGAGGGATGTCCATACACAACAAACTCAAATGAGCCATAAATCCAGTCCGAAAAAATGGAACAACAGATTCTAGAACCTAAGAATGCTTGAAATAATTAGCTAAATATTCTTAGTAGACTATATATGATGTTAGAACTACATCACTAAACAAAGACAATAATAGGACTCATGCTAAACCACCAAGCACTGCAACAATAGGCGAAATCAACACCGAAATGAATGTCAGCGGAATTGTTGAAACAAGAGCTGAGCTTGAAAGTGGCGATGGTGCAGGCGCCATTGAAATTGGCTGTGGTGGAGATTGGGAGATGGGGTATAGTGGGAGAACTTCAATGGCTAAACGCTGGCCATTTTTGCAATGCTCTGGATCACCGCTCACGAAGTAAAAGGGACCAGCCCTGTTAAGATTCACTGTGGTGTTGCCGTCCTTAGCGCCCCAAGTTGGATGAGTCCTATTGCAATGATAAAATTCCCATTTGTCCACTACAATAACCGAGTCATTCTTGTACTCAAAACCTGCATATAAATAAAACTACGTTACGTATTTAACCTTCATTTATCCAAAGGGAAATATAATATACGATTGTAGGTACTAAGGTACTTTTGCGGAATCTTCAAAATATACTACTACTAAGTTATAATTAGAAATTATTCGCAGTAAATAATATTTGTGTACACATACAGATTAGCTTTTAGCACTAACATTTTGTGCTTTTGAAATTTTAAGTTAAATAATTTATAATTGTTGAAATTTCAATTTTTTTGCACATACATGAATGTCCCGAGTCAAAAATACTAGATTCAATTGAACACATTAAAGCCCCACTTGTTCATAAATATTTTTTTCTTTTTTTCAAAAATCTGTTTGTTCATGAAATTTTGCAAGTTTTTGAAAATGTGTTTTTTCAAAATTTTCAGAAAAACTTTTTTTCCGAATCACAAAGCTGCAACATTTTTTCAAGTGAAATGCATGTCCAAACATAATTTCAAATTTCAAATATCATTTTTCAACTTAACTCCAAATACTATGTCCAAACGCATACTAAATGTGATTGCACTACTTCTCCTCAGCGTACATGTAAGGCAAAAGTTCATGTAACTGAAGTTAAATATGACTCATCGCGTTGCTACATATTTAAAAGTTGCAGCAGTGTAGAACATATGCGTAAAAAGGAATGAGTGGTGAATGAGAAATCAAGAATTACTATGCATGCATTTTATATGCATAAGTATACACAGAGGAGAAAGAGAATAACAATTACAATTAGTAATATAAGTTGATTGACTTACGGAGTGAATCGCCGACGTGAAATTTCTTCTTTAAAGCCCAGTGATGATAGAGATCTGTTTCATTAACACCTGGCTGACGCCAACCAACTTTGAATTCCTCGCCGGAGGCAGCATCAACGGAAGATATTGTAAGGCTGATGAAAAGAGCAGTGACGAAACAGATAGTAATAAACTTGATCGAAGCCATGTTTGTCCTCCTAATTGTTAACGAATTATGATATTGGTAATGCTTTTTACTCTATAAGTAACGCAGTGAAGCGATGTGGAAATTTGAAAGCTCTAGGAAATCTCTCACTTTGTATTGTGGTCAAGGATGTTGTAGTATGAAGCTATTAAATAAGAGGGAATTGAAAGCTGCAAAATGCAAACGTGGTGGAGAAACGTGGAAGTTATAGTCTTAGAGGAGAGGGGTCGTGGGATGTCCCCTAAGATTTTCTCTTAATTGACTTGGTCTTGCTTGTAACGGTTAATTCAAAGACGAAGAGAATACAACATTTTGACCTTTCATATTTCCGCTTGGTTGTATTGAAAGGAAAAAAGACTTCATTTTTCTAGTATATTTTTTTGACTAATTGGTAAAATTGAAAGCTCTGGGAAAACGGTTAAACATTCTGTTCAGTTATCACGTGCAAATTTCTAATCGCACAGAAGTTTTCTCTTCTAAAAAACGCTGGATGTCGTTGGTCCGTGCTAGTACGGGCCCAACAATTTGTGTTACATTGTGTTATTCGATCGTGGTGATTAGTCTCGATTCTGTTATTTAAAGTTAAATTCAAAAAAAAAATCAAATTGTGTTTGGACATAAACTTCACTTGATGAGAAATACTTTTCAAACAAATTTTAATTCTAAATTCTCTATTTTAATGTTCGAAGTATAAATAAAGAACCAAAAATTAACACATACATTATTTTGCAAATAATATTACAAGTTGAAGTTGACAAATTACATGTCCAAATTAACCAAACTTTTAAATATTATTTTGCAACTTCAAGTAAATATTGTCCAAATCAATGCTTTAAAAAGCGGGGGCGTGAGGCGAGGCGTTGTACCTCTGACGAGGCGAGACGTAAGTCCTGAGACATGGGGCGTAAGTCCCACGGATCTTTAAACTTTACTAATTTCAAGAATTTTAAGATAGTATAAAATAAAAAATAATTATAAAAATTACATTAAAATCACAAAATTATAATAAATAATCTATTTAAAATATTTATAAATTATAATTCAACCATGAATAATACGAAAAGTATGACATATATCATAATATGCAGATTAGTTGCAACGTCGTTACAACTCAAACATCAAAGTAATGTATTCGATATGAAATTTTATACGTATCTCTTGAGGAGTAATGAATCTTGAAAGAATTTCGATAGTATAATTTGATATTTTTTATAAAATACTCCTTTTATTTAAAGTGACACATAATTCACCATACAATATCATGATAACTAATTATTTGTAAATAGTTAATAGCTAATACTAAGCTATTAAATTAATAAGTATTGTATCACCTAAACTTAAAAAATTAATATTAAGGAAAATAATTATAAAACAATTATGGACTATTATATAATAAAGACATAACAAAAGTTAATCAATAAGTATTTTTTAAATGAAAAATTTATTTAAAATTTACAGCCATAGCAGTCTTAGTGGATAACGTGCAATAATTTTTATTTTAATTTTAACATAAGATACTCTCAATTTAATGATTTATGATTAAGAAAAAAGTAATTTTGAATAGTCAACGATTTATTAGTAAAATTTGTGCATTTACAAGGTTAGTTATACTGAATTGCATAAAGTTCTATTAGGCGAGCCCAGTACACTGGGTGTTGGGTGTGTCCGAGGCGTAAGCCTCACGGAACTAAGCCACACACATAAGCATATTAAAAGTTACAATGTTTATTATATTATGTAATTGAAAAACAAAGTCAGCACACAAAATGACATGAAATTACATTAGAATATCAAGATAGTAATTCGGCAAATCAACATTATTAGATAAATAAATGACGCTAACATATGAAATTATAATTAACTTTAGTAGTTCAATATTTTTTGTAGGAAGGCGACAAATTATAGTCTGGACAAATGAAGTCTAGGTAAATAATTTTATTATTAAATTACATAGAGGTAAACCTTTTAATGAAACCTTCCTCCCTTCCCCCCCCCCTCCCCACAAATATCGAGTCTTCTGAGTAAAGTTTCCCAGCATAGCGATTCTGAAGAAAATGACCGTTTTAAAATGGGGTCCCTTTTTACTAGGGTTGTTCGTCGGTCAGTACGGTATGATATTTAGATATTTCGGTTCGGTATTTTCGATATTTTCTTAAAATCCTCTACCAATACCGTACTAATTAAATTCGGTATGGTTCGGTTTTTCTCCTTTCGGTTTCGATTTATTCGGTCCGGTAATTTCAGTTTATTCGGTTTGAATACTAACTAGTGCATAGAGCCATAAACTCTAATATTCTTAATTAGAGTACTCAAAAATACAAAACTGAAAATATTTGTTGACAAAAAATGTGTCCAAAACTAGCAAATATCGACCAAATAGAGAAGATTGTACATAAAAGAATATTTGATCATTAGAAATGTCTTGTTACTTGTTTAGAGTTAATTGATGAACCTAGAGAATAAAGGAAAGTAAACTTTTAGATTTTTTATATTTATATTATAATTGATAATATATGTTTTGTGTAATATAATATATATTTCGGTACAGTATCGGTATTTCGGTATTTTATTTTAAAATACCAAATACCATAACTAATACCAATATTTTTAAAAACTTAAACCAAATACCAAAATACCGTATACCAAATACCAAAATTTTTAGTTTCGATACGGTAATTCGGTATTTACAAAATTATGCACAGCCCTACTTTTTACCGAAAATGAGACTTTCTGGAGCATGCTAAAAATATTTAAGCTACAATAACCTAAGGTAACAACTTATATGCTATAAAACCTTTTCAAAAAATTTATACAAATAAATTTCTCTCTTGTAAATTCCTAAAGAGTCTACCAAAGTGATTTGAAAAGTATCAAACATGACATTTACTCCTTTATATTAACTGAGCCTCTTTTTTTAATCAATTCGAATGTAGAGGCTTTTGCCAAAAATAATTCTTCGACTTAATATTAAATGAATCAGAAATTTATACTCAGTTGTGTGAGCACGTGATTTTTGCCCTATATGAGATTTACTTCCAAAAAATTCAAAATAAAATAATTTTCCTTTGTGTGCACTTTTTAAATTTTCCTGACATTTTTGGATAATTATTTGTATTTTTGTCTGTGCATATTTATTTGTTAAATTAATAAAAAATACAAAATATGTCGCATTTGCACTTAGGATTTAATTCCACAATTAGAAGTAATTAAGTTTGTTTTACAAGAAAGAAAAAATCGTAAAAATAATGTACGTTGCATTTTTAACATTTAATGTCTAAATTGTGCGATTTTATCGTTAATTGCTATTTAAATGTGCGATAATTGCTATTTGAAGTTAATTAGTATTTTTGATAAGTTAATTTACTTTATAACTTAATTTAGAATTTTAGTTTTATTAATTAGGAAGTAAAAGAAAAGAAAAAAAAATACAAAGAAAATCGGAATTGTGGCTCTTCTTCAATTTTGAACCCAGGCCCAAATATACCCAACCTTCCCCTACGACCCGATCCATTTCAAATTGGGTCGACCCAGTCCACAACCCAAAACCTCACCCCACCCTTTCTATTTTTCATTCTTGAACAAAAAAAGACAAACCCTAAAACTAAACCTACACTACCCGCCCCCCTCTCTTTCTCTTCTTCTCCAAGACCACACCCCTCCAAGCCCCAGCAACCATGGCTGCCCCCCTCACGCCTCCACCACCTTCAACACAACCACCACCACCCAGTCCAACGATGCCTCACCCTCAACACACACACACACACGCACGTCATTCTCCATCGTCCCATCGACCCCAACACGAGCAGTCATGGCTGCTTTCCCCCTCATCTTCACGTCGAAACCATCCAAACAACCAACGACATCAATGGCTGCTGCCCGTTGCTGCTTCTTCTCCTTCACGTCTGCTCGCCTGCTGCTTCTCCTCCTTCACTGCTGGCCGCCGCTGCTTCTCCTCCTTCACTGCTGGCCGCTGCTGCTTCTCCTCCTTCACTGCTGCTCGTTGCTTCTTCTTCTCCTTCGCGTCGCCGCTACCATGGCTGCATTTTTCAGCTGTGGATTGCTGTTGCTGCGTTCTTGTTTCTTCACCTGATGCTGCCTTCTGCTTCGTTTTTCAAACGACACAAATGACCATCTTCTTCGATGGTCCGTTCGTGGTCGTCTTCGGCGTCGAGTTATTTTGGTGCGATAATTATTTTCGGGCAGATTTGTTTTCGTTCAAGTTCATCGTCGTTCCGATCCGGTTAGTGGGTTTAAGTTTCGTTTCTGTCCGTAATTTGTTTGATATTTTTCGGATTTAAAATCAGATATGTTTGATATTAATTTCGTGTTTATCGTTTTTTTTATCTTTCTTCAGTTTGTTTCATTCATTTTTCTTGTTTATTTTTAG